CCTCGCCCGCCCCTGACTAGAGGTCAGAGGTCAGCTGCCCCCTCACCGAGATGACGGTGTCGCCCTGGCACTGCTGGGACAAGTCACGGACGCCACTCACGAAGAGCCTATTGGTGGTGACGTAGGCCTTGCCAGCCTCGATCACGCCGCTGCACAGCTTCACCAGCTGCGGACAGGACGACGGATGGGGCAACACTCACGCCACCAAGAGGCCAGGACACACGGGCAGGGACCCAGACAGGGCAGCCGGAATTCAGCTCAGGGTCGGGTCTGTCAGTGCCCAGGACACAGCTGCCCCCGAGCAGCCCCGGGCGGGAAGGGAAGGCCACTGCCCGCCCGCCCGCCCACCCTCCTGAGCCCACCTGGCACTGGGGGACAGCTTGGCATGCCCCAGGCCTCGGCTCCAGGGTGGGAGGTGGGAGGGAAGCCAAGAGCAGGGAACCCAGGGCCAGGGGGGGCGTGTGGTCCTGGACAAGGGTCAGCAGGACCCAGCCAGCGAGGGGCTCAGGGGTGCCACCCCTCCTTCCTCCCTCTGGCTTTGAAGCCTGTGCCCTCCTTCCTCCCCTGCCTGTGCCCTTGGCCCCTAACCCAGGCACTCGGAGGCACAGCCCCCTGGCAGCTGCCCCCGCCCCCCGCCAAGGTCCCCCACCCTGCTTGGCTTGGCGGGAGGAGACCCGGCAGACACAGGTGTGTGTGTGGGATGTACACCCCGGTATGGGTGTGACAGGCCGGTGATGGACAGGCCCACGTGCTGTGCACACGCATACTCGCGCTCACACTGGTGGCCATGGGTGAGCTGGGCCAGGGCCGCGTGGGGGACAGGGAGAGTAGCCCCGGGCCCTCCGTGTGCCCCCAAGCCCCCCTCACCTTGTCCAGTTTGGCCTCGATCTCAACCACATCCGTTTCCACCTCGTCGATAGTTGCCCTGCAACAGGGACAGGGTGGCTGGAGACCCGCCTGCAGCGAGCCTCCCCCACTGACTCAGCTCGGCCTCGTCTCCCAGGCACCTCCCCAAAGGGGTCAGCAGTGGGAAGGGGCTACTCTGCCGATGGCCACTGGCTCCTGCAGGCCCACCTGCCTCCACACGCCCCTCAGACAGACCAGGAGGTGGAGGGTGGCGGTGAGGGAGGATGGAAGAGGGAGGGGGAGAGGGGACAGGACTGGGACCATGACTCCAGAGCCGCAGAGCCACCAGGGCCCACTGCCACCCCAGGCACATAGAGGCCCAGTTGGCTGTGACGCCCCCATCTGGAGTCTGTGGACGGGCGGGGGGTGGGGGGGAAGGGGGTGGTCAGACAGGTCCCTAGCACAGAGGGAGCGGCCGGGGTCCCGTGGAGGTGCACATGCAGGGCCTCGCTGGTCACCCCACCCCCGGCCCAGCCCCTGCACCTCTCCAGGGCTCAGGGTTGACCCCAAACCCCATCTGGACCCCCCCCACCCCTAGCTTCTGCGGCAGCCCACCCCGGCCTGGGGCTGGCAGGCCCCGGGGCAGACCAGTCTCAGCAGCTCTGCGGCCCCCAGAGACGCCTGCAGAGGCGTGCCCCTACCTCCTGCCTGCTCCCCAAGCTCAGAATACCAGGTAGGCCTCGTCTGCCTGGCAGGAGCAGTGGGCCAGACCCCGGAGGAGCCCACTCCCACGGGCGCAGCCTGCCAATGGGGCTGCCTTGGGGAGGGAAGAGTTAACGTCTGACATCACCAGAGAAGCCAGTGGACAGAGAATCCCGGAAGGCAAGGCGAGAGGCAGATGGATCAGGCACGTGACAACCCCCAACACTCCGGGAACAGGAAATAGGGAAATAGGGCCAGGATCCTGCCCTCCCCGCCCCACTCAGCTGGCGAGCTGGGCCCATCTGGCCTCCGGGGGACCAGGGACAACAGGGAAGGAGCTCCGGCCAGGGCCAGGGCAGGGCCAGGCAGAGGGGCGGTCCAGGTCTAGCGGCCCGTCGCTGGCCCCTCGCTGCCCCCCAGCTGGCAGAGGAGGGGCGTGTTCCAGGCTTTCCCAGGCCTGGGGGGAGGGACTTAGTCCCTCACGCGGGGTGCAGTTCGGGACGCCCTCAATTAGGAGGTATGGGGTGAGTGCCAGGCTGCCCCGTCAGGACCCTTGGACCGTCCCACCACCCTCCTCCTCTCTGAGCAGCCCCTATCCCTTCCCCACGGGCTGAGGGGCATCTGAGTTCCAGAGAAGGAAGGGGTCAGAGGGGACATCCGCTTGGACCGGTGGTGGCCCACGGCCTGCAGGTGCCCCCGCCTGAGACTGCAGGACCCTGACGGCTGCTGTAGCCTCCCCCTCCCCCTCCCCCTCCGAGGGTCCCAGGGCAGGGAAGGACCACCCACCCAGAAGAGGGGGATGAGGCTCAGCCACCCCACCTGCCCTGGCCAGCTGCGTGGAGAGCTGTCACCCTTGGGCTGGGATGGGGGGTTTGTCCCTAGAGAGCTGGTGAAGATGGGATGCACCAGAAGCTGACAAGTGTGCTCATGGGGACAAGGTGGGCGCTCAGCAGACAGTCCGTCCCGGGGGCCCCACGCCCCTCAGGTCTCTCCTCCCCACCCCCATGGACCAAGGCCTCCTCTCCTGCTCTCCCTCCAGGATTTCCTCAACAGCTTGGATGCTGGGGAAGAGGGTGAGGCCAGCTCCCCCACCAGAGCCATGACTCAGCGTCTGAAGCCCCACCCAGGGGAGGGGGCACCAAAAACAAGGGGTGAGCGGCACCCCGCCGGTCTGAGAGAGTCTGGACCCCTCCAGCCACGTGCATCCCGGGGCTGTGGGGCTTCCCCAGGCCAAGAGCGCGTAGGCAGGGTCCCCCTTCCCAGGGCTGGGGCTCCCATCGCTGACCACACTCTCCTGCCTGGCCCCGCCCTAACCCCCTGCCCCCAGGCTGGCCTCCAGGAAGTCCAGGTTACATCCTCAGCGGCACTGACAAGGGGACCCCAGAAAAGCCTCAAAAGCCATCACACCTCAGCCCAACCAAAACCCACCCAGTGCAGCTTCTGTGGCCCAAGGTCGGGGGATCTCCTTGGACCCCAGCCGGGTGGGTCTTGGCTGGGCACTCTCAAAGGAAGCCTGGCAAAGCCCAGGCGCTGCTGCACCCACTGCCGCACCGTGGGTGCCACCAGCGAGCAGGCTGGTGTGGGAGGGAAGGCCTGGAGGCGAATGGGGTGCCAGCGGCCCTGATCCAACCGGGCAAGCTGGGCCTGGGCCCCTCCGCGACGGGAGGGGGAGCACGAGGCTCCGCAGCCGGGGGCCAGGGTGACGCTGCGGTGCTTCGGCCAGGACCAGGACCCCTGCTGCGGCCCTGGCTACACCTCCGCCCGCCGCCTGGGCCGTGCTGGGGGCCCAGGATCACGGGTGCCGAGTCGCTTACACCCCTCCCTCAAGCAGTCAGGAACAGAAGATGGGAGAACACAGAGGGTGGCCCTCAGCACTCTGCCCAGGGCCTGGGGCCACTCTCTGGTCCGACCCCTACCCCTCATCCAGCCTTTCTTGGCCTTTGTTGCTGACCCCTCGTGTGGCGGTTGGGCAAGGGGCTGGCTCTAGGGAGTCGAGGGTAAGGGTACTGATGCTGAGGCCCTCCAGACACCCACACACAGGCCCTCTGGCTAACACACCCCAAAGGCCCAGCGCATGCGCGCGCACACTCACGCACGGCCAAGTGCGAGTGTGCAGAGGCATGGCAGATATGCACACGTGCCATCAAACATGCATGCACGCAGCAGCGCAACGCACACGCAAAAGGGTGTACTCGTGGATACCGTGTATAGACACGTACCCCATGCTGAGATGCACACAGGAACAAACTAACGTATGCTTAGTGCCTAAACTCACACTTTTATGATACACACCTACTATGCATCTGTATTCACACCCAGAGGTGACACATGCACACATGTGCGTGCACCCAGCACTAGTCTGGACGCACGCATCAAGTAGCCAGTCCAGGGGTGCACAGCTCACCCACACATTCACGTCCAAGGTCTGGCACCTCAAGGGAGGGTGCAGAGAGGCAGAACTCACACGTGTGCACCCGAGCACGAGCACAAGCATGAGCACCTGACACACGGGAGGTGCCCCGTTAAAGCAGATGCGCGCGCACCATGAACGTGTTCACACGGATAAGCCCGCCTGCACTCCCAGGAAGGACTACAAGCACAAACCCAGGGCCGGCCACAGCGCAGACCTCCACCAGTCCCTGGAACCCAGTCTGCTCTGGTAGCGCCCACCCTGCCAGGTGCGTAGGTCACCCCTGCCAAGCAGCCGCCCGAGGCCCTAACCGAGGCTCCAGCTGCCTGCCCCCTTGACTGCTCTGGGCACGAGGACCAAGACAGATTCCATGGGCAGACGCCCCACGCACGCAAACGACCCTGGCCACAGCCGGGCTGCAGCGCCCGGCTAGGTCTCTGCCCTGTGCAGGTGGCCAGCACGAAGGTGCAGACACAAAGCGGGGCGGACACTCCCACGGAGAGGTGGCCGCGCCGGCGGCCGCCCCGCCCCACGCGCGCACCCTCCGCGCGCGGCGACCAGCACAAGGGGCATCTTTTGTTCCGGGCTCTCGGGCCGGGGAGCTGCGGGCTTTGTACAAGACGTGTCCTCCTGCTCTCGCCTCCGGCCCCGGCGCCGGGCACAAAGGTGGCACCGGCGCCCCCGCCCGCGCCCATCCCCCGGCGGCCCCGGGTGCCCCGAGGGGCGGCGACCCCGCGGATCACAAAGGGCCGCGCCGCGCCCCGGGGGCGCACCTGAAGCGCGGCGAGTCCTTGATGCACTCCTCGAACTCCACCGTCATGGCTGCGGCGGCGCGAGGCGCTCACTGGCACGAGGACCGCGGCGCCCCGAGCGGCATCCCCTGCCGGCCCGCCCGCCTGCGCCGCGCCGCGCCGCGCCGCGCTCGGCGCCCGCCCGCCCCGGAACGAGGCCGCCGCGCCACCGCCCCGCCCCGCCTGTCACCGCTGGGGAGCGTCGCCAAAGTCCGCCGCCCGCGCGCGCCGCCCGCTGTCACCGCCGGGGAGCGTCGCTAAAGTCCGCCGCCCGCGCTCGCCGCCCGCTGTCACCGCCGGGGAGCGTCGCCAAACGCCCCGACGTCCCTCCCCCTTCGTCCGGGCAGGCGGTCGGAAGTGTGGGTGGGCCCAGCAACAGCCGCGGGAGCCGTCGGGCCCCGCGCGTTCCAGCGATCCAGCCGTTAGGCAACCCGGGGAATTGGCAACAAGCGCTCGGCCGGACTGCGGAGGGAGGATGGGGTTGGGGGCCAGTGTGTGGCCAGCGGAACGTGAGAGTCTGCGTGGGGCTGTCTTCCCTGGGTCGGCACTTTGCACCCGCTCCCTAAGTCTGGCCCCGCCTCCGCCCCCGCCCTGGGCGGCCAACCGAGGCTGCCTGGGCGGGGCGAAAGCCCAGGCGCAGGCGCGGGATTGGCCCGGGGGCGTGACCAGGCTGGGTTCGCGGGCGCGCGCGGGCGCAGCCCCACGTGCCGTCCCAGTCCGCCTGCCGCTCCGCGGGGTTCGGTTCCGCCTGGCCCTCCGCCTGCCCCAATGCCGGGTCCGGCCTGGCCATGGGCGCGGGCTCAGTGCGGGCGCGCTACCTCGTGTACTTCCAGTACTTGGGCACGGACTTTAAGTACGTCATCTAGGCCTCCCACCCGTGCCCGCAACCCCCTCATGTAGCTCGGCCCCGCGGGAAGCACCCGAGCTCGAGCCGGAGAGCAGCCGACGGCCGGCGCCCGAGGGGTTGGAGGGAGCTAAGTTTAGGGCCCGCACCTCCGGCCTCGGGCCCCGGCCTCCCGGGCATGGAACGGTCGCCTTTGGCCGCATAAGATGGGACGGGCGGGGTCCGGGGCTGGGCGGCCTCGCGCGCTAACCTCCGCCCGCCCTGCCCACAGCGGGGTCGCGGCAGTCAGGGGCGCCCAGCACGCCATCGGAGTCCAGAACTACCTGGAGGTGAGCTCCGCCGGCCCGCGCCAGGGAGGGGTGAGGGAGGAGGGCGACCCGGGGGTGGGGCAGATGGGAGCCCCGCCCGCGGCCGCTGTGCGCTCCCCGCCCCCCTCAGGAGGCCGCAGAGCGGCTGAACTCGGTGGTGCCGGTAAAGTTCACTATCTCCAGCCGCACGGATGCTGGGGTCCATGCCCTGAGCAACGCGGCGCACCTGGACGTCCAGCGCCGCTCAGGCCGGCCCCCCTTCTCCCCTGAAGTCCTGACGCAAGCCCTCAACACCCACCTGAGGCACCCGGCCATCCGGTGAGCACCTCTCTGCTCTCCCGGAACTCGTCCGTTATGGTGGAGGCGGGAGGTGAAGGACTCTGTATCTGGACAGGACTCCTTGGGGGTGATGGCAGGGATGCCAGGGTGTCACATGGACAGGGCAGGGGGTCATTCCTGGCCTCGTTCCCACAGGGTACTGCAGGCCTTCCGTGTGCCCAGCCACTTCCATGCCCGCCACGCAGCCACGTCCAGGACCTACCTGTACCGTCTGGCTACCGGCTGCCACAGGCCTGACCAGCTGCCCGTGTTTGAACGAAACCGGTGCTGGGCGCTTCGGGCTGAGTGAGTGGGTGTGAAAGTGACCCTGAGGGGTTTGCCAGGCTCGCCTGGCCGGCTATTCGCTCCTGACCACTCACCTGGCTCCCTGCAGCTGCTTGGACGTCGCTGCCATGCGGGAGGCCGCCCAGCACCTCCTGGGGACACATGATTTCAGGGCCTTCCAGTCGGCTGGCAGCCCGGCCACCAGCCCGGTGCGCACCCTGCGCCGAGCCTCCGTGTCCCCCGACCCTGCCAGCAGCCCCTTTGTCCTCCCCGAGGAGAGCAGGTGAGAAGGGCAGCCTACACTCTGGTCTGGAGGCTGCAAAGGCTGGATTTAGCTCCAGCACCTTCCCTGGTGCTGCACTGGGGGCTCCCTGGGCACCCGTCCAGCCTTGGGGGAGAAGGAGGTGCCAGTCAGCCAAGTGGTGTGGCCCCAACACCCATGAGCCTGCAGCTGTGCCCTCCCCTGGGCTAGGGTCCTGCCAGGCTGGGGGGCAGAGGGCAGAGAAGGCTGCCTAACCTGCCGAGAGCTCACTGCCTTGTGGATGGATCCCGGCGGTCGGTGAAAAGACTCCACTGGGGGAGAAGCACCAAGCCAGTGGTTCGTTCGGGCCCAGGCTGGCAGAGGGTTGGTTCCACTGCCCTGGTTCCCAGGGGCCTCTGGCCAGACCGCAGCTACTGACTTCCAGAGCCTTCCCACTTGGGCCCAGCACTGAAAAGAGGAGGGACTTTGCACAGCCAGCTTCCAAGCCTCCGACTCCTGCTGGAGAGCCCAAGCCCCAGGGCTTGAGTCCCTGGGAGAGGAGCTGGTCGCTCCACCTCCTTCGCAGCCCCCGAGCCCACGGCCTCCTCCTGCAGCCAAGACCCCGGAGGCGCTGCTGTCCCCGCTCACAAGGAGCAGTCCTCTGGCTTTAGTCTCCCTTCCACCAGTTTCATTTACAAGGGGTTGGGGGGGAGTAGGTGGGGGCCCCTGGGGTGGGACGCGGGGAGGCCACACTGGAGGGTTGAGGCTGCCCTGAGGCCCAGACCTCATGGGCGCCTGTGTCCCCAGGCGGTTGCGGTTCTGGAGCCTGGAGTTTGAGAGCCAGTCCTTCCTATACAGACAGGTGGGCTGTGTCCTGGGGCCCTGCCTGGGGTGGGGCCTGGGGCTCGGGTGGCTGCAGCACTCTTCACCTTGGGTCACAGGTGCGGAGAATGACATCTGTGCTGGTGGCCGTGGGGCTGGGGGCTTTGATGCCTGCTCAGGTGAAGATGATTCTGGAGAGCCAGGACCCCCTGGGCAGGCACCAGAGCCGTGTGGCTCCCGCCCACGGCTTGTTCCTGAAGGCGGTGCTCTACGAGGGCTTCGGTAAGAGGCGGCATGAAGCGGTCCCTGCTTGTACCCCGTTGACTGACGGACCCCTCCCAAGGCTGAGTCCTTGCCGTGGGAGGGGCTCTCAGTGGCAATGCTGTCCCAGCAGCTGGGACTCCAGCCTGTGGCCAAGAGGAAAGCCAGAGCCCAGCAGCCCAAGCCCCAGCCTGGCCCCGTGGGGAGGGAGGCTGAGAGAGCGTTCTAGAAGGCAGCAGAGGGTAGAGAGGGGCTTGAACTCTGGGGCGAAGGCAGGGGGCTCTGCAGTCCTGCTGAAGGCTCTGGCCTGGCCCCTGCAGAGACTGTCACGCCCCCAGGATGACCTGGGGTCTGTTCACAGGTCCTGCCTCTATGTGCCCTCAGAGTCCATAACACAGAGGTCACAGGTGACCCCTGACACGCAGCAAGGTCAGGGCAGCCGTAGCACACTAGGCCCAGCTGCTGGACGCTGCCCAGCTCTGTACACCACCCTGCATCACACAGGGACCACGGCAGGCCCCACGCCTGTCAGCCTGGACCTGCCACAAGTCCCCGCCTGCCCCGGGTGGGCTGCCAGAAATGGAGTGTAGGAGACAGGCGCAAGCACCAGAAAACGAGACACCCAAACAGCCTGTGGTTGTTTTTACTGGAAATCAACACCCCGGGAGCGCCCCCGCCCCATCTCCTGGGAGCCCAGGAGCAGAAATAAAAGGTGAAAAGCCCCCCAGGTCCGTTTCTTTCTTCGGCCAAAAGCAGCCACTCGGGCAGGTGCGTGGTGGCAGTGTGGTCTCTGCACAGATGAGGGTCGTAGCCAGCTGTGGGCTCCATACCCGAGGACACAGGGAAGACCCAGGGTGCACACAGTCCTGGCAGCAGGGCCTCAGCTGGCCTGGGGAAGGCCCTTCTTGAGCAGAGATGTGAGGTAGCTTCCCAGCTCCTCATCCTGCAGCCACAGGCAAGAGGGGCCATTGGTCCCGGTGAGGCAGCCCAGGGCGACTGGGTGACCCCACCAGTCCTGCACCTTACCTGGTAGGTCCAGGAGACCAGCAGCACCTTGGTGCCTGGGTCCTCTGAGTGGGCAGCGGCTTGAATGAGGATGGACTCCACGGTCACGGAGCCGTCCGGAAGGTGTTGCACGCAGTGGTCCTTGAGGACGCTGTGGGGAGGCACAGTGAGCCCCTGCCTGGCGCCCCGCCCCCCAGGTCCGGAAGGCGCGGCCGCAGCGTCTACCTCTTCAGGTGGCTGTACACGCGCACGGCTGTCTCCTGCTCTTTGCGCGTGTCGTGCAGGTGCACACGGCAGGTAAAGCGCAGCTGGTGCTCGGCCAGGCCCAGCTCCTTGAGGGCCTGCTCTGAGGACACAAGCCGGAAGTTCTGTGGGGCAAGGGCAAGGGCAGGTCAGGGACGGCGAGGGCGGACCCCACCGCCCCCAGTGATGGCTGGCACTCACACTGTCCTTCATGATCAGGGTGCCATGCAAGAGCCGGGGCTTCTTGGCGTCAGGGAGCAGCCCTGTGGGGCAGGGGCAGCGGTCAGAGCTGTCAGTGGGGCCGCCTGCCCAGCAGCTGCCCCACCCCCGCTCAACGGGCCCTGCCGCTCACCCTGTGCCATCTCCCGCTTCAGCAGCCCCAGTGAGATGCCCACGGGGATGCTGGGGCTCGTGGGCAGCGTCACCGTCTCGCCGTTGGCCGGCATGTAGCAGCTGACCCCTGGGCCGGGGTGTGGAGAGAACCTTAGTCCAGACTGGCGGGCCCCGCCTGCACCGACCCAGCCCGCATACCCTCCGTGTCACCCAGCCCGCCCTGGCCTGGGCTGCCTACGGAATTCCTGCTCGATCTTCTGCTTCAGAAACTCCATCTTCTTGGCCTCGCCGTGCACCAAGAGCACGTTCTCCGGCTCCGCCTGACCCACCAGCTGCATGATGCCCTTGGCGTCTGCGTGGGCGCTGAAGGACATGTACTCCACCTGCATCTTGACCTCCAGCTGCGGCATCACGGCAGGCAAGCCATCAGCACAGGTGGTGGCTCCCAGGGCCGCCCCCCGCCCCCTGCCACAAGAGGGTCCACAGAGCTGGTGAGAGAGGGTGAGGACTCACCACCTGCCGCCCCTCCATCTCCAGCTTGCGCTGCCCGCTGAGGATCTTGTGGCCCACGGTGCCCTGCACGCAGTAGCCGGGCATGATGACCTGAAGGAGGGAGGGATGGACGAGCAGCTCCCCTGCACCTCCCGCCTCCTACCTCGGGGCTTCCTCCCGGGACGTTCTCCCACCCGCCCCTCTGCCCACCTGAACCCAAACCCTTGGTGGTGGCCCCTCCCCCTTCTAGGGCCCACTGCAGACCCAGGCAGGCTCAGGGGTCTCAGCACAAGCCCGCCCAGGCCTGACCCCCATGATGGCTACTTGGGAAGCCGGGGGCTTTCTTGCCTGGTGCAGACAGGCCAAGACACAGCAAGAGTCTGAGCCTGGGTCAGACACCGGTGCCCAGGGTACCAAGCTGCCGCCTCCTCCTGACAGCAGCAGTGTCCCCCCAGCCAGGGGGAGCCCCTGCCCCTCAACCTCGCCAGCCCTCCAGGGAACCGGCCCTGGGGCCCAGACCCCTCACCATGTTCTTCTCGTTCCCTGCCCACTTCCTGAAGATCTGTAGGGACTGGCCGGCATGCAGCATCCCTGGTGTGGCAAACACGACCTTCGGGGCAGGTGTGGGACAGTCAGGGCATCAGATGCCCCCCTGCCCTCAGCCTTCTGACCGCTGGTCTTCCCGGCACAGAGGCGCCCCGCTCCCCTGCGCGACTTGCCGGCAGGGCCCCGGCCCAGCAGAACCCCACCCCAGCCGGCAACGGGCCGCACCATGGGACCCGGGCTGTCGGCAAACGCCCGATCGAAGGCCTTGATGTGCTTGAACTCAAACATGTTCCTCTGCACAAAGGTCTTCCGGATCTTCTGGTTGGTCCAGGGGATGAAGAGCTTGTAGTAGTGGTTGGCCTTCTCTGTCAGGCCCGTGGAGAAGTAGATGGGGGCCTTCAGGTCCATGCGCTCCCTGTGGAAGACGGGGCTGATGGGGAGGCTGCAGGGGCAGGGCTGGCCTGCAGCCCCCATGTGCCCTCAGCCTGGGTTGGGTCCAGTGCCAGGAAGGGCGCTCCCCGCCCTCTCTCACCCCACGGCCAGCAGGGCCAGGCCTTCAGAAACCGTCGTGGCCACACCTACCAGAAGGTCTCGAGCAGGATGCAGAGCTCCTGAGCGCGGCCCAGCGCAAACACAGGGATCAGCACCTGCAGGGGGGGTGGGGGTGGGGGTGGGAGGCCAGCTCGGGAGGAACCCCTGGCCGCGCCACCTGGCCACCGAGCCCACAGCTGTGCAGAGGCCGACAGTTGCTCCTGTGGCTACCTTCTCAGGAGACCAGCCCTGCCAGCAGCTCTGATGGCCGGAGGCCCCATGCAGACTGCTGGCAGCCCCCCACATTCTGTCCCAGCACAGCCTGTCCCAAAGTGACCATGGTGGACACTCTGGCCAGCCCTGCATTGGGATCTGAGTCACGAGGAGTAGGTGAGCCCCCACTAAAGGGTCTTCGGGGGAATCTGTCTTCCCAGTGCTGAGCAAACTTTCCTCTCTCTGTGCCCAAAACACAGCACCCCTGTCCCTGACTGCATGCCAGGTCAGCCGAAAGACCCGTGTAGCATGGCCAGAGGCACACAGCCAGCCCCACCTGGGGCACCCGCCGCCCACCAGCTACCTTCCCGCCACGCTCCACGGTCTCATGGACCTTCTTTAGGAAGTCTCGCTCCCGGCAGCGCTTCGAGTCTCGGATGGTGGTGGCGTACGTGGATTCTGTGATCAGGAGGTTGGGGCGGCATTTGTCAATCCAGGCAGCTCTAGAACACAGGTGGGTGTGGCCAGAGGTGGACAGGCCACACGGTGGCAAGGCTGTACACAGCCATGGCCCTCCTGGACACTCTAGCAGGCAGCCTGCCTCCTCTGCACAGGCAGCACTTGAGGGGACAGAACATCCAGGGACAATGACACGCAGACTGCTCAGGAACCCAGCACACCCCTCAGGGACCCTGTCCCCCGGGGGGACCCGCCCAATAGGATGAAACAAACGTACTGGCCTACTTACCCCAAATGCCGGTCTGGGGTCATGTTATAATCCCCCTAGCAAAGAATGTGGCAATGAGGAGGGTGCCTCCTTCCTCTGCCCGGCCAGCCAGCCCTTCCTGTGCCCCAAGTGCTTCCACTGACCGTGTAGACCACAGACTCTGAGCCCACTTTAATCTGGAACATGGCCGCCCCCAGCACGTGGCCCGCATAGTAAGCCTTGATTTCCAGCTCATCGTCCACCTACAGAGAAGAGGGCTGACCTCAGGTCTGCTGGCTGTGCCAGGCAGAGGGGTCAGGGAGGTGGAGCCTGGGGCAGTAGTGGGCACAAATTGATGACATCATTCTAGCCTTTCATCATCCCTGTTTTTCATAAACGACATCCAGTTCTCAATCAAAAGCAGACACAAGGGCTTCCCTGGTGGCGCAGTGGTTGAGAGTCTGCCTGCCAATGCAGGGGACACTGGTTCGTGCCCCGGTCCGGGAGGATCCCATGTGCCATGGAGCGGCTGGGCCTGTGAGCCATGGCTGCTGAGCCTGCACGTCCGGAGCCTGTGCTCCGCAACGGGAGAAGCCACAACAGTGAGAGGCCCACGTACCGCAAAAAAAAAAAAAAAAAAAAAGCAGACACAAGAGATGAGACAATAGGGACAGAAAGAAGAGGAACAACAGTCCAGAGAAACAGATTCAGGGCTCCTGGAGTTTTCAGACACAGGCTTTAAAAGGATTGTGATTAAAATATTCAGAGAGAGAAAGAATTAAGCATGTTGGCAAAAAACTAGAAACTATTAAAAACAGTGGAAATTGTAAAACCAGGAACTATAATAACCCAAGTTAAGAATTCAAAAGAGCCATACTATCCCAGGCAATCTACATATTCAATGTAATCCTTATCAAAATACCAGTGGCATTTTTCACAAAACTGAAACAAATAATTTTAAAATTTGTGTGGAAACACAAAAGACGCCAAATAGCCACAAGAATCCTAACAAAGAACAGAGCTGAAAGAATCACACTCCCTGACTTTATACTACAAAGCTGCAGTCATCAAAACTGCATGGTAAAGAAAATCGGAGCTGGAGCAATCAGGCTCTCTAACTTCAGAGTATACTACAAAGCTACAGGAATCAAAAATGGTACTGGCACAAAAACAGAAATATAGATCAATGGAACAGGACAGAAAGCCCAGGAATAAACCCATGCATCTATGGTCAATTAATCTATGATAAAAGAGGCAAGAATATACAATGGAGAAAAGACAGTCTCTTCAATAAATAGTGCTGGGAAAACTGGACAGCTAGATGTAAAAGAATGAAATTAGAACATTCTCTAACACCATACACGAAAATAAACTCAAAATGGACTAAAGACCTAAATGTAAGACTAAATACTATAAAACTCCTAGAAGAAAACATAGGCAGAACACTCTGACATAAATAGCAACAGTATTTTTTTTGGATCCGCCTCCTACAGTAATGGAAATAAAAACAAAAAAATAGAACCTAATTAAATTAAAAGCTTTTACACAGGGACTTCCCTGGTGGGACAGTG